CTTATCTACCCTAGCCCTCACAGGGCGCCCTCACGGGGCTGGAGCACCCACTACCTGCCCTCCCCCATCTCTCCCCATCTCCCCCCACTCTCTCTCCCTGAGCTTTAGAAGGCTCTTTGATTTTCTTTTTGGGTCAGAATGAAAATTTCAGGGCACCCAGACTACAGTCCTTACTTGAATCCAGCTGAGCTCTCCAAAGCATCAGGCGTTGTTTTCTTTCTAAAACAAACTCTGATCTTATCTAGATATTAGGCTTATCTTGGCAAGTCACTACACTGCATTGGGCTTTTTGTTTCCCCTCTCTCCCTCCCAGAAATGTGATATTATGAAGAGACCTCGACCTGGGGCTGCCTATTGCTTATCTGGGGAATGGAAGGGATGGGGAAAGAGCTGACTCTAGGCTGACAGCCACACTGTCCCAGGCTTGAGGGGAGAGGGCCTGGAAGACCTCTGACTCCTACTTGTCAGCCTCTATGAAGGTCTCACCATTGCCCCCACCCCTCCAGCCCTTCACCCACATATTCAGACCTGGGGCTCAGACCACTGCAGTAGCCTCCTGAGTGGTCAAGCTTTTCCTGTGTTCCTTGGTGCCCATGGGCTAGAAAGAAAAATACATCTCTTAAATCAGTACTCCACTCACTTTCCACAGTAGGTCCTGCCACAGAATCCCCCCCCCATGATATCCACATACTAGCAAAAAACAAACAACAACAACAACAAAACCTTCTCTTTTACTTCTTTACCCACCTCCATCCTGGGGATCATTCCAGCCAGCCAACACTCAACCCCCAAGCTCCACCCTCATTCCCAACAGACACCTCCTTACATTCTGATTGCCATCCATCTGCTGCTCCTCCACCCGAGAAGTCTTCCCCACTTGTTAGGGACTGAGCTGGGCTCCCACTTCATAAGAGACATAACTTGATGCCCCACTCTCCTATTTTTAGTATGTGACTTGGTTTGGAGTTAGAGTGTTTAAAGAGGTGATGAAGTCAAAACGAGACTGTTGGGGTGGGATACTGACCCAAAACGATCCCTATCCTTCTAAAAAAGAGGAAGTCTGTATTCCTGTGTATGTGTGTGTAGAGGGGAGAACCAGGAAAGATGGGAGAAGTCATTTGTATCAACAAGCCAGGGACACCTCAGGAGGAGCTAAGCTAGGAACGGAGCCAGGAACCAAGCCCGGGACATCTTGAGACTTCATAGCTGTGAGGAAATCATTGTTGCTTAAGCCACACAATGGGTAGCTGTCTCAGCCGAGTAAGCAGGTATACCTCTTTCCTACTGCATAAGGATAAAGGCCAAATCCTCACCAGCTCTGGAGATCTGCAGGATCTGCCTCTTGGCTAGGGCGTCCTGCATCTCTGTTCATCTCAATCCAGCCTTTCAGTCTGCAGTGGTGTGAATATGCATGGCCCAGGGAGTGGCACTATTAGGAGGTGTGGCCTTGCTGGAGGAGGTGTGGCCTTGTTGGAGGAGATGTGGCCTTGTTAGAGGAGGTGTGGTCTTGTTAGAGGAGGTGTGGCCTTGTTAGAGGAGGTGTGGCCTTGTTAGAGGAGGTGTGGCCTTGTTGGAGGAACTGAGTCACTGAGACCCTCTTACTAGCTGTGTAGAAGTCAGTCTCTCCTGGCTGCAGTTGTGTTAAGATGCAGAACTCTCAGCTGTAGCTGAATATTTTCCCCCCTCCCCCCGCTACATTTTACAATAAATTTGGTAATTTGGGAGGAGCTAAGGTGAGAGGATGGAAGGGGAGGAAGAGGGGAAGGAAGAAGAAGAGCTAGGAGGGGAAAGAGAGATGTAGGAGCTCCCCCTGCACAATGTCTGCCATGATGCGCCATGTTTCCCACCATGGTGGTAGTGGACTGAACCTCTGAACCTGTAAGCCAGCCCCAATTAAATGTTGTCCTTTATAAGAGTTGCCTTGGTCACAGCAATGGAAACCGTAACTAAGACACCCTCTGTCACTTGGAGCCTTCCACGAGGAAGGTCTTGCTTGATCCCTCTCTACAGAAACCCCTTTGCAACTTGATTAGTTTTAGGACCATTCTCAGGGTCACGTCAGAGAGAGCTTCCCAGATGCACTCTGTGAAACTCACTCCATATTCGCTCATGTTTCCTTCATCAGGAACCTTAGGCATGCATGCATACTTAAATGACTCCATCAAGTCAAGAGCCATCCACTATCCTGTGTATTTCTTATCTAACACGACACCTGGACACACAATAGTGCTCAATAAATATTTGTTGAGTAAATGAATCTTCATCCTCTTCAAGCCCTTATCAAGGTCCAGCCCAGATCCTCCTTGAATTAGCTTTCTGATATACCAAATCCAAAGCCCACTTAGTGTGCTGATATGGATCTATGTAGCACGCCTCTTCTTCATCGTGGTGATTACAGCTGTCTGGCTGTATCAGTTACCTGTGGATTTCCTCTTCTGTTTCCTCCCAAACCAGGACCACACACTGAGCATCTCCACGGGGCAGCCTAGTACAGCCTAGTGCAGGGCCCCTGAACACAGGAGGCGCTGTGTAAATTTGTGCAGACCCAAATAGATCAGAGTAAGCCCCAGAGTGAAAGAAGTGGGTCGTTTCGGGATTAAAAGTGTGCCCCTGCCTTCTCCAGCCCCCAGGAAGAGTGGGGAGACAAACATTTCTTTTCCCGGAGGAATAAAGGGTGAACCTCAGCTGTCAGTTCCAGTCAGAGCTGTTTTCTTTGGTAGGAGAAAATTCATTGGCTTTGAGCCCCAGAATTATGGAACGGCCCAGCTGTAGGCCGCAGAGGTCTCCTCATCATTGCGTGCCTCTTTCCCTAGAAGAGAACCCTGCCTAGGAGGGAGGAGAAGGGCCTAGAATGCACCCTTGGCATGATACAGGCAGCCAGCAACCTCCGCGAAGGCCACAGCACCATACCCTCCCCCACTCCGCAGGGCTGGTGGGAAGGCACAGACAACCTCAGCTAGCTGAGCTCTTTGGGGGCCTGGGTCTGGACAATGAGAAACCAACAGCCCCCTCCTCGCTGCCCTAGGCATATAAAGCAGGCCTTTCACTGAGGCTTTCTGGCTGCTTCAGTTGGTTCTTGGCACTCAGAGAGGCTGTGTCGGGATGGGCCAGTGTGATGGGGGTGGGGAATCGGACCCACGATTCACAGAATTCTCCATATCCACTCCGGGGGCCACCAGGCGGGTTCCCCAGCTGTGGGATGAGCTCATGCAGGGAAACCGGAACCACGAGGGTTGGGGTGGGGGAAAGAGAAAGACTGGTACCAAGCGCTCTGGGAAACTGTCTGTGGAGCAAGTTTTTGGTGGGAATAAGAACTAGTGCCCCCTCCTCTCCAACCCCAGACACAACCCCGAAGCCCTCTCATGTCGTTCCTGGGAAATTCCCAGGCTCGCCCACAGCTGGTCAACTTGGGTTGCAGAACCTCCCTAGCCTAAGTTACCAACCCACAAGTCCCTCTCTTAGCCCTTCCCAGGAAATGTTCCGGCCTCGCCGCCCACTATCAGTGTTCCCGGGCTCCTGAGCCTCCAGGATGCCAGAACGCCAGCTTAGCCAAATCACTTGATTGCCAGACTGGCTAAAAGCAAGATCTGCCTCCCTGGTTGACTCTGGCAGAGGGGGGTGGAGTGTACACCGGCAGGTGCTTTTATGCTGTGCTTTCCAGGCGGAGCCTCCTTCCCTTGCCTTGTCGCTCGTGGTCCCCTCCGGCCTCCTTCATCTCCCTAGGCGTCTCTTCTCCCTAGGCAAGAGTTTGGTCTAGACAACGAAGGGGCCCTTGCTACTGGCGGAGTCGCCTAGGGTAGACCAGCCTGAGACCGCTGCTGAGGCGGAGTGAGGGGTGGGACCTACGCTGAGCCCTTGTGGGTCTGAAGGCAGCCGCTATCAGCCTGTGGAAGATAAGGGCTCACTCACTTCCTTAGAAGAAACTCATCTGGTTTTGGGCCCTGGTAGGTTGGGTGTGGGGGACAAGCAGGGACCAGTCATTTAAATTAGAGGATAAATTGTGCAAGGAACTCTTACTCAGCCTTCCACCAATCCTATACCCCCTCCCGCCCCCAATCTCAGTATACATCCCTGCGGTTTTGTCTTAGGCTAGGGGTAGGACTGCCCTGGACTGAATGAAGGGGACTATTCACCCCGTTTCACTCACCCTTCAATTCTTAACCCTGTCTTCCTCTATGTTCCCGCACCCATCTCCTGGGACGGACTACTACGAATTGAGTTCCAGAGTGTCCACCCCAGATCCAAGACTACAAGTTCAAAGCCAGTAGCCAAGATTTTCTCTTAAGAGCCATGACTCCGGGAACTGCAATTTTCTTTGGTTACCTTTTTTCCCCAGATAGTTAGTATTCCCATTTCCAAACGTGGAGGAGGCGTGTATGTGCCTGTGTATGCAAGAGTGTGTGCTTCTCTCTCTCTCTCTCTCTCTCTCTCTCTCTCTCTCTCTCTCTCTCTGTGTGTGTGTGTGTGTCTGTGTGTGTGTGTGTGTGTAGAAGAGGGAGTATACTAACGGTGATCTTATAAATGAAAGCCGAAGGACTGAACTTAAAAGAAACTGGTCAATTGTAAAACAAATAGGAATAAACAATCCTTTAGATGTAATTTGTGGTTTATTAGGAGGTGCAGGTGGCGCTGAAGAACACCCCCCCACACACACCCTGTTTTTTTTTTTTCTTCCTTAACTGCGCCTCCACCCCCAGCATTTGGAGCGGCGGAGAAGCGGCTCCGGAGTGATTAATCCGGGGATAATTCACCCCCCCGCCCCCCCGGCGCGAACCCCGCGAAGCGGGATTGGAGCGAGTCATTTCCGAGAGCGCAGCGCGCCTCTCCCCGGCCGGGCGGACACTTGGTTCATTCCAGCCGCAGAAGCTCAGGGCTCCCGCGTACCGGGATTTTTTCCCCCCTCCCGGAGCAGGAAGAAAAAAAAAAAGCTACAGAGCTCTCCTGACCTCCTTTCTCCTCGGCGGCGAGCGAAGCCTCTCCCTCGGGCTGCCGACCGCGCTATGCCGCGCTCGCGGGGACCGGAGCAAGGATGTTGCGGCTGCCCGGCAGGGAGGGCTCGCGGCGAAATCGGGATTTGGGCGCTTGTGCCGGGCACCGGGAGTCGCTGGGGCCGCCCGCCGCCACCACCACCGCCGCCACCGCCGCCGCCACCACTGCTGCTGCTGCTGGGCTGGGGGCTGCTCAGTGCCTCGGCTGCCGCCGGTGAGTCTGGCCGCGCCGAGCGCCCCACCCGAGCCCACCCAACCTCGACGCGGTCCCAGTCCCTTCCCCCACCCCGGCTTGGCTTCCTCCTTCCGATTACCCACCCTGCTGCTCATCCTCCTCTCTGTCTGCCCAGATCATCTACTCCATCTTCGACCACATCCTCACCTCTACCCTCATGGACGTCCCCAACCCCAGCCGCAACTTAGCCGGATCCGGCCAGTGTGGGGGGCCTGGGAGACAGATATCCCCCTCCGCGGGTTGCGGGGCACCTGGACTGTGGCTTCAGTTTCTCCAGCCTCCCAGCCCCCCAAGATGCCAGGCTTTTCCGGGATAAACTTTCCCAGAGCCCTACTCCCTCATCTCTCCCTATTCCGCCTGGCACACCCGTCCTGGGGGTTGGAGAGGCTCGGCGCGCCCCCTCTGTGTCTGCAGGGTCTGTCTTTCCCTGCCCCCGCCCATTTTCTCCGACCAAAGCCTTTGCCCCCGCCCAAACAGCCCTGAGACTGCGGTCGCCACCCACCTCCTCGCACGCCCTCCGCCCCCACCGTGCTTGGCCTGGGGGCGGGATGCAGGTGGGCGCGCGCCCAGGTCGGGGGTCCGTGCTATCTTTCTTGAAGGGCCCATGTGGGAAGCTGAAGGGGGGTTGAACCACTGGACGTGGAGGCGGAGGTCGTGCGGGGTGGGGAGGGGGAGGGGGAATGTCGCTGCCAGGGTCCGCGCCGACACATCCCCTCTGCTCGGTTTCCATTCCGCGCCAAAGTGCCCTTTCCCGCGCCCTGCTGCAGCCAAACGCCTGGGCTGCGGCATCCGTGGCTCGGGTGGCGGACTCGATCTCGTTAAGCTAGCCCGGACAGAGCTGAAGGGTGTGGAGAGTCCCGGGACTTTAGGATGGATGTGCGGTTGCATCTTACAGTTCGTGTGGAGAGGCATGTGGACCCTTTAGTGAGCCCAGTCACACTAAAGGTTGCTGGTTTCAACTGGTCTTCTACTTTACCCACGGCACCTTCGGATGCTTAGCCACAAGCTAGAAAGTTCCGTGTGGCCGTGTGGGGACCGGTCCAAACAGGGATGCCTGGAGCTGCGTTTTCACTTCGCTAGATGCTGACTCCCGCGGGGGAAGAAAACCCTAAACACCTGATGCCTGGGCCTGGAGCCGGGACACCCCGGCACACAGCGGTTTTGTTGTTGCTTGTTTGTTTGGCGTTTTAAAACCACAGGTTGAGCCTTTCAAGCCTTGTCCTGGGCCATCCCTAAACCCTACCGCTTCTTGGAAAGTGCGCCCCTCCCGTGGTTGACCAGTGTGTGGTAAAAATTCTTAGGCCCTCTCTGGCTTTCAGTATCTTGTGAAATGTTCCCTCAGACCTTGTCATTCACCATATAGCCACTCAGTGTTGGGGTTTCCTGTCAGGGAGGGCTCCCCAAGACAGTCTTGTCTGTTTATCCCTACTTGACCGGACTTTCTCAGGTAATCCTAAGGAGTCATAGCCACTGACACCCAGAGAGGGGCGCCCGCGGTGCGCGTGCCTCTCAGCTTTGGCCTCTCGCACACCCACACCCACCGGGAGGCTGCTCACACCAAACGCTTCTGGTCACCAAGACTTCTCACATGAGCTGTGGGGTCCGTTGTTACTTGCTGTGGGGCCCATTGGATGTTTGTCCAGCCAAAGGTGCCCTCTGCCTTGGCCAACTGGAACTTGTTTGGGATTGCCAAATTTGTTTTCCTTGCTAGGTTTGTCCCTGCCCCCTTGAGCATGCCATGCCCCTGGGGAGAGAAAAAGGCCAACTCACTCGGGCCTGCACAGTATTCTGCAGTGCTGGAAAGCTGCCTTTTTGAGACCTATTTGTCGTTGTCTCTTGGGTAGGTACGTAAGTTGGAGGTTGTGTGTGTAGCTAAAGGAGGGGCAGCTGCTCTCTGGCGGTCTCAACTCCGCTTTCAGAGCGCTCATTTCTTTTGGAAGCTTTCCTGTGCATTTCCACGTACTCTCCGGCCTTGTAGGCAGCAGACGTTTGGAAATGGAGTTAGTGATGGGAGGTGGGCAGGAAGTGTTGTGAGAGGCATGGGAAAGATCCTTCTATGATTTCTGCACACTGTTGACTATGAAAGACCCTTTGGGGGATTAGTACCTCCCTGGGCTGAATAGAATGAGTATGAGGATTTGTGGGGTGTGTGTGTGTGTGTGTGTGTGTGTCCTCCTCTCTCTCCTTCCTGGCCTGCCTCCCATCATACTCCTACCTCCATCGCTATAGGACCCCAGCCTCCCTAGAGACCTCTCTCCAATTACCTGTCCTCCTACTTTCCCTCAGTCATTTTCTCTCCTTGAAACCTGCTTCCCCTCAGCCGGTAAGCACATGTATCTTTCACATAAAACACACCAAGAAGATGTCTTGCTTGGCCTTCCTGACCCCAATCAACCACCTTGCCTTCTGTCCAAACTCTCTTCAAAGGGGATATTCATTCACTTTCCCTGCTCCCAGCCATTCCCTGGAGCTTGGCATTGAAATGTTCTTGGAGAGACCCTTGTGGTCACCTGATCATCTCACTGCCAAGCCCGTTGTACTTCCTCTGCCTATGCTCCTGACCTCAGCCCCTCTGAACCACCCCTTTTGAAGTCTCCTTTGCAGTCTGTTGGGATTCTGTGTTTCACCACCTCTTCTCCTCTAATACAAACACTCAGCATCCTTGATGAAGTCTGGTGCCCAGGAACAATCACCCTGTCCTCACTCTCACGGTGAGCTCACCTCTGCTCAGTCCTCTAATACTGTTCACATGATTCCAGACAGATCTGTCCTGCCAAATATGGTGTCTGTTGGCTTCCTAGTTTGTAGATAAGCTCAGTCTGTTCAGCCTGCACATGCACCTGCTTTTCTCAAGGAAAGAGTACTCACATCTTTCTTCCAGAGCTGCCCAGGTACCCAGCCTAGAGCCTTAGGTGGCCCCTCCTCTCCTTCTGTGTCATTGGTCACTGAGGCCTGAAATTAGACACCCTCAGTTTTTCTCTAGAACTGCTGCTTTTCTCTAGAATGAGAGCCTAAAAAAAATAAAGCAGGGAAGGAAGGAAGGAAGGGAGGGGGGCGGGAGGGAGGGAGGGAGGGAGGGAGGGAAGTAAAGAAGAGAAGAAGAGGAGAAGAGAAGAAGAGAAGAGAAGAGAAGAGAAGAGAAGAGAAGAGAAGAGAAGAG